AAATCATATATTCTGATCTTATGTGCATATAACTTCAAAACAGCGGCCTGTTAGAAATGATGGGACAATAGTCAAGGGAAAGATTTCTTGTTAACATTTCAGTGATACCAACATCTGTACTGTTCGAAAATTTTCACATATAAACTTCTACGGTCAAGTAATCTATCCTTTGTAAATTGGCATGACATTGTTTATGAAATAGCGACAACGGCCCGGTAGGCTTTAATGAACAATTCGTCTTCCAGGTCTGAGTCACCATATATCTTCTGTTATTGAGTGACACTAGCTACTGTTAGGTAGCCACAGTTCTGATAGTGCTCTATCAATTCTAATCACCTATTTCCTTAAAAAAATCACAACACATTGTGGTTTGGCTTCGATTTTCTGTAAGCATTTTTGGAAACACTCACAGCGATGTTCTAGTTTGATAGATTTTATTTGGATATGCTAAACCGTTGAGATGAACGCCCTATGAATGACTCTAACTGATTCAACTGGAAAGTTAGTTGGGAATAACTCAATTCACTTAGATAACAATTACATCAAGTAGCGCAAATCCTAGATTCAGAGATCGCTGTCGACGATTTTCAAGCATAAAACTGTTTAGATGTCGACATTCGTTTAGTCCTTCATTCCAGGTTATTGAGAATACAATCAAGTGACAAGAAAGAATATTGTTGTTTCGAGAAGTGACAATAAACTCGACCTTTTGTTATTTCACAAGTAAAAATAAAAACTTTACATAAACTAGAAAAACATCAGATACCTACATATATTGGCAAGAAATTCTTTGCATCGGAGAAATTTACGTTTTGAATACTTATGTGGAGTGATATGAAAAAACTGTGGCACGAAAAAGGGATGGAGTTTAGACATCACTATTAATTCCTTTCTGAAGAAGCTACATTGCCGTTATTCGTCAGGGGCAAACACTAACTTATTATATCTTTTCTCATACATAATAACAGTATTTTTGATATTATGAAGTGTCCTGTTTTGTAGATTGATGTATACGTCATAAAAGTTTGAGTGGGCTTCACCATGGGATAAGTGACACCAAATAACAACGCACACTGAAAACCACGTTTATGGATAATGATACATCAAAATGAGCCTCGTAATGAAAGAGTGGTCTATAGTGCTCGATGTCCTTATGGTTGAATAACTGTCGTGTTTTCATAACTGCATTTCTGAGTATACACAGTCATAAAATGACGTAAACTGTTTAACAGGATAATTGTTTTTTAACAGCATTGAAGGTATCTTGGTCCCAGATAAAATAAAGTGATTAAGAATAAATCAACATTTTGCGTATATTCCATAGTATGGTCAATCACTAAATTTTGGGCTGTAAAATACCTAAAACAAGCAAGGAAATCAACATTTCCACATTGATTCTTGATTTCGTTTAGAAATTTATATTTTTTTAGCTTATCACAATGACGGTTAACATTACTGTTGATGTGTGACATGAAAACTTCCACTCTTCTTCTGTTAAAAACACCACCTGGATATTAATTTTTACTGTTAAATAGATGTTAATAAACTATTCTTTATGTATTAAAAATGAATAGAATTCCCTTAAAATATTCCGCCAGTACTTATTTATAAAGATGTCTGAATATTTGTTAGGAATTTTATTAATATTAGGTAGTTCAATTTCACAATTCCAAATGACAATATGTCTGATAACACACAATTTATATAATTAAATAATCTTGGAATATTTATCAGCTGGATTATAAAATACATCACATTTCGAGTCAGTTAATGCCTAGTTTATGTTAGTTGTACTATTATTATTATTAATACTAATATCATTAATATTATTAAACACGAATGTTGATTATTTACAATATTATGCCATGCAAACTAATATGAATATGTAATATCATATGAATTTCCGGTTGATCTTAGTTGGTGTGATTTAAATGAATTTCAAATAAACATTGCTACTACTGAATACTGAACATCAGGTTAGACAGGTATCTAGAACTTGTGGATATATATACGTATAATAAATGGTCTAGACTTTATCAACCGATAATTAGTTGAAGTTTACGGGATAGTAGTAATTAAAAAGAGTAGTTCAACATATCTCAAGAGAACTAATTTACATTAATAATTCTTTCATATTTTAGTGAATGAAACTATGTTATTTAATAGAGACTTAGTCAGCTTCTGTATGTTGATCGATCATACCAACAGTAACTTACAATGTGAAAAGATATGACTCAACGTCCAGTTTTTGTACTGAGTATTTTTAAGACACAGTGATAATTCTATTCATCGCCATACTAAGGCGTACAAAATGTACTTTTCTACTTTCTGAATAATTTGAAGTTTTTTCATCTGTACGATTTAGAGTGTTGGTGTTTTCATGTAAATACTGTTTAATTAAAGTCTATTTAGATAGTGTATTTAATTCTAGACGAAAATGTACTATTAGAAAAAATCCTACTCTATCAGCGACAACTGCACAAACATTGAAGTAATTATGTTTACTCATTCATGTTTCATATTGGACATTTTAGTAATATGCAACGAAATTTTTGTCACGATTCGAAGGCTATTTATTATGTAAAAACTACAAAGGTTTTCCTACTTTTCATTTAATCATCCTACTGTTTGTTTAGTCATCGACAATATATTTTTTTATTTGAAGATTTTTTGCATAAGTTTAAAAAAAGGTAACCACATTTATAACACTCGAGAAATTATCCTTTAATCTAAATACTATCTAACTAAAATATTTGTTTGATACTATAACCTTAAACACGTCGATTAATTAATCTAAACAGTTTTAAAGATAAGGTGAAATTAACTTGAAATGAATTCTCTGCTGATTTTTCACCTTACATTTCACTTGGTCAGATCAAAACATTGTACCGCTTACTGAACACTATTAATATTACACTGTAATAACCATCAACTTTCTCTGACCATCTTGATGTACACGTGGAATACAGGGAAAAGTTTTTTTGAAATGAATTACTGAAGACTATTTTAGTACTTATCAGTTGATAGATATTTATCTTCGTTCCCTTGTTTTGGTTGTGGTAACCGGTGATGACTACACCACTTCGTAGAATAAATAACATTGTGTTATAGTTTTCTTATGTACATTTATGTAACAGAATCAGTGATATAATTGCTAGTAAAAACTATTTTCTTATTGCTCTCATTTAAAAAAAACATTCAGACATCTTATTCTCAAGACTGCTAAATAGTTTGCTGTGTTGTACAATTAAGATGAGATACAAAGTTTAAACTCAACAATTGACTACATGGTATAAATACATTTCGATCAATATATGGATGGTAAAATATTCACAAGTGGCTGATCGGTGCATTTACATTTTTATCAATAGGTTCAGAGTATAATGTAGTATGTTATGTTTGGAAGTAAGAAGTAAGATTAACATGGTGTGGTGGGGTTTATTTAAATCCATCTTTAAATGATTTTTCCATATAATACAATGTAAATTTATGAAGCGAAACTTCCAAAATAGTACGTTTTCAACCAATAAAAATTTTATCACTTATTTTAATGATACTTAAATATGTATTATTTGTATTAACTTATAATCGAATATTTATTTATCCATAAATAGATCAGTATGAACAACCTAATTATGTGATCTGAATAAATGCTGGAAATCAGACAGTGATGTAATTACTTTCAAATTGTCAGATTCGTGTTTTAGTGATTGTGAAAAGTAGAATGGTATGTAATAATTAATATGATAAATTTAAACGACCTTGTTGTCAGATAAAAAGCCTAATCATGTTTTTTTGTCTTTATTATTTGCTATGAACAGCTATTAAGTGAAATCACAAGCTCGTATAATATAATCCTAACTATATAAATCATTCAACTATTCTTTGTTCTAATGTATTTATCAAAATTAAACAGTTATATAAATAGAGTTGAGTAAAGCAGAGATTTCAGAGTTGTGGTGGACCACTTATGTTCTATATAAATGATCTTTTTAAAACTTTAAGACTGACTAGCTTTGAAGCCTGATATTCATTTTAAAGATCAGTTGTCGTGATGTTACTGTAATTTAAACAGTGTGCAAAAGATAAGAGAAAAATCACTATAACTTAAATGAAATAACTGTATCATCAAGATGATTCATCAACAAATGATTTTTAACTTCGTAGTTAACTTTCTTATGTACGTTAATGTGGCCAAGTATTCTTTTATAATTAATATTCTTATTATTACGACTTCTACTACTATTTCTAATTAATATCAATTTTATAGAGCGGTGGAAATGTATGATATTGTAATAAATTCGTTATTTCTATGATTTGATGTGAAAATATGAGAAAATTTACTTATTATACATGCAGTAAAACTAGATCAATTCGTTTCCTAACAAAAGTATAATCAACATTAATATCAAGTAAATAAATGAACATCTAGATAATGTTAAACAATTGGTCAAAAAACCATCGATACTTATATATATTGCTAGTTAAATTCATAAGTCGATTTAAGCAAGACCACCACTAAAAACCTAGACGCATTGAACAGTCGTTTCGTCCTAGTATGGGACTCCTCAAAACTGCACATCTACGAGTCCGCTCGTGAGAATCAAATCCAGTACCTTCGGTCTCGCGAGCAAACGCTTAACCTTCAGACCGTTGAATTCAATTATTAAAATTACTATAATCTCCACAAACCCCCATTCTGATTATATATATATATTGTCAAAGTGTATTCTGCCTAATTTGTTTCATTTAAACGTTATAAATATGAAAATGAGTTTTTCATACAAATATGGATTTTAGTTCAAAGATGATATCTTAATAATGCCGTTAACTTAATTTCGAATATTACAGATTTCAGGAACCCGTGGAGGAAACTATCTTTAAACTCGTGTTTATTCTATGTGCATGAATTGGAAAATTTAAGCGAAATCCGCTCTTGTTTGATCATAAATGTAAATCCAGAAAGCTTGGAATATTTTATGACGATCAAATAAGAAATGTAAGATTGAGTGAAAATTTTATTAAAAATATATATTACATAATGTAATTATAAGCTACCATTGATTATCAAATGTGTTACCTTGCATGAAAGCGGCAAAATCAGATGAGAAGTAGACCTATTGCCTAGAAATGAACTAATGACAATGAAATGAATCAGTGAAGTTGTTGATAGTTTATCTAATTTGTGTGATTGGACTGGAGCTTTCAATTCATCATGCAGATACCATTAGCAGAATGTTTTGCATACCGTTTTAAACTGAAGGCAACTCTTGTTTGTTTTTTTTTGAATGTAGTGGCAAGAATTTAGTTGATAATAATTTTGTTGTACAAACATATTGTTTATTTTTGAAATAGTATCTTATCAGATAACTGCATTATACAAGTCATGAATCAAAGTTTTGAAGTCATCCACTACATTTAAAATTAATAAAGGTCGGAAGGTGACGTTTGTTACTGAACTTTATTTAAACAGAATATGTCAACTGGTCCGTCAGCAGGATTAAATGAGAACTTAATATGTATTCCTGATGTGAACCCCAAATATAAATGTGTCTGAAAAAATCGTCAACATTAATTGTTGCAACTAAACAAACAGAATTGTCTCGTCTGTGAAAAAATTAAGAACAAAGGATGATGTTTGCAATTTTTTATGTAAATGAATTAGAATCGTCAATTTTTATTTGATTTAATTTGATGAATAGACTAGAAATGTTAAAGAAACTTTCCCATCTGAGATGCTCACAGAATATTAACTAAGAAATTCAGTGTTTGTCTAAGATAATATTAAAAGTAAACAATCCAGGAGAATTGTGGTTGCTAATTCAAATCATGTAGAAAGTTTAAAGTAGCTGAGCTGGAGTCTTTAAGTTTCTAATTGGAATCAACAGAAATAACCATGTGTAATAGTATGGTTCAAAAGGGACTAAAACGAGTTCGCATTTTATTTTATTTATTATTTATTACATACATTTATAAATCATAATGATCATTTGCATTTCAATCTTATAGTACTCGCTACATTGTTTTTGATAACACCGATAATTAGCCATATTCCTCAGCCTAGTTAAGCACTTTCTATTTGATAGAGGTTACTACTTAGATATCGTTAATTTGTATGCTGCTAGGATAAGTTATGTGTTCCAAACAAAAGGCTTTTTAGGTACTGATAGTGCGATGATAATTAGTTTTGCAAAACTGTATGTCCTAATATTTACAGAGAACTCTTCTATTACCGCTAGTCTGAAATTTAATGACAAGCGATGCAAGAAAACGAGGACTTTAAAGAGCTAAACTTATTAATTAAAGAATGAAGGAATCCATCAAAGGAGCTTTCCCAGTTTAATTATTTTTGCACATGATGTTCAGTATATGTTGATCTCATTTGTGAGATATTCCCCCCTAGTATTGTCGTCTTCAGCAGTGGGTAGTTGTACTAAGGATCGACGAGAGCACCTTAAGACTTCTCAGGAGATCCTAAAGAGTGAGAGTCATGGATGTTCACTGATGAGGAGTCACAAAACAGAAAGGAGAAACTATCCAGTTCTCCCTGGCTTCCAATGGCACTCCTACTGAGATCAACCCATGAAGAATATGACTTACAGACTAATTTCCAAAGAATCCCTTCATGATTACTACTTGTATAGTGGTGTATGCTACTTATATCGACGTACATAAGTAGTATGTAACATCAATCAGAAGTGGAATGCCTGGCAGCAGAAGTTGGGAAAGACAATAGAAGAAAACTCGAATGAAAAAGAGAGCAATTGTAATAATAACAGAAATGATGAAATTTGCAAGAGACAAATGAAGAAAGATATGCAAATGTAGTATACAATGTATGATTTTCATATTTTACCAAAGAACTCTGTAATTTTGCATTTAATAATAAGATGTTCCTCCCCACTACGCGTCTTCGTTTACGACAATATGAGTTTCCAAAGTTGGTACTTAACTAAGGGGAATTTTAGCAATTGAGAAATGTCGAGTTTTCTCAGCCTACAATCATATCTTCAGACAAAATATAAATAATAAACAACAACTTTCGGAGGAGGATAACATTGGACAACAAATGTTTGCAAATATTGAAATTAGATAAAAAGTAAGGAATACGAAAAATCTTTTCTTTCATACAAGTCCATAATAGAAAGGAAGTAAATAAAAATACTTCGAAAAAATCAGAGAAATAATATTATTTGAGCAAAAGAATTCCAGAAGTCAGCAAATTTAATGTCAGTTTATGTCATCATCATTATTGTCTAGAATTTATTATTAGTTATATGAATACCGAACAGAACATTAGAGAAAAAATAAACAAGCAGAACAGAGACCATCATAAAAACCAGAATTCAAGAAAAATTAATGATATAACTTGGTATTCTGAAAATAATCATATATCGAAAAGTTATGAAGTTATACAAGGAACATATGATGAATATAATAACGTTCGTGTCAAGTATACCAGTTTTTAATTCTCATCCTATTTATGATTTTCTGTAGCCATAACTTCGTCACATAATCTGTCTATAACTTCGGAATACAGCTTTCTGGCTCTATATCGGGAAATCTTGAGTGTTGGAGTGAGCAACCCATTTTCTATTGTGAAAGTTTCATCAGTCAGATGGATTTTCTTCAACTAAAATCATGTTTTTTCGGCACAAAATGAATATTGGCTTGTAAGATTCGGTATTAAACTAAGTTAAAACAATGATCACCTAAAGTTATAATATGATTATGCATTTAGTATAACAGACTCTTGATTTTAAGGCCAAAGATATATATAACTAATAGATATATCTGATTGCTTTTAATGTGTAACTGAGATTCTAACGTGATAGAGAAAGTGGAGCGACTAAAGAACAGTAAATTGCTTGAACAGCTCAATTATTATTCATTGGTATAAATTATTATGTGTTTCATTTGAACGACTAATGTATTTTACAACTACTGTTGCGTAGACGAAAAGACTATGCGCAATGAGAAGTTGATTTTCACTAGCTTCTTCAGTTACTTTTTCAACTAGGTCGTTTAACTGTTCCGTCTTTCTCCCATTTCTAACCTAAAGATGAATAAATGCATATACCCTAAACATCTATTTTTCTAAGGACATATATAGCGCTATTGTTAAACTAAATAAATGCTGTAATTTTTGACATTTTTCTTGACAGCGATTCTATCATTTTTAACATATAAAAGTATATGGGAAAATAAAAAAAGGCTAAGACGTTCGCGCGTTCATGTCATATAAATTCCACCTAATTTTACTGATTATCATGATGCTAGATCTAAGTAAACGAAGGTTTTCTACTGTATTCAATTTCAGATTTGAGAAATTGCCCGTAATCTACTATTATTAATGCTGATCATATTAACACTATATAATCTAACAGAATCAACTTACTTTTTCAAATCCTTTCAGAAATCTTTCATTGGCAATTTGATCCAAAACATTTAGATATTTTCGATGGACAGATTCATGTTGACATAAATCATGATCGGATAACTTAACCAATTCGTGATCTGTTTTGCTAAGTGATTCACGTAATTCCTCGAAGTTTGGAACTATTATGGCTACAGGATAAATGGATTTAGGATTGGCATCAATAAAAATTTGACTTATTAGACTACAACTTTGATAAAGTGCCTCCAGTTTTTCTGGAGCCACATATTCACCTTGAGCCAACTTGAAAATACTTTTAACGCGATCAACCAACATCAATGAACCTTCCTAGAGTGGATAAGATATAATATGAAACATTACATTAAGTTCATAGAATTATTAGCATCATATTTTAATTACGATTACAAAAACTGTTAGTGACCACGGTCGAATGTGTCATGAAGCAAACTACATATTTATATGGCCTAAGTTGTTATTTAACAAAACTTTAAATATATGGAAGAATATTTATGAATCGACGAAATGGTTTATAGTAAGAAAGTTAATTATAAAATTTTGACAATGAAAGTTGGAAGATAATTTTATTTATTCATAAGATATAAAAATCCTTAAATGAAAAATAAGGTTACATACATTAAAACATTAAATTAACTATACTTCATTTTTAACTGGTAAGTTACATGAATAATAAGTCTCCAGGTATAGTTCACTACAAAAAATCGAAGCAATAAACATTATTATAGTAATAACCAGCCTAAGATCTTTACCACTGCTTTATTGTAAGTTAATCACCTCAAAATAAAAATAAATTATTAAAGAAAACAGATCAGTTTTTGAGACGATGAGGAACTTCAGAAAATATTTCAACTAATTTTCAGGCCATTTACAGGTTTATTTAATATCCGACTAAATAACAAAATCAGTGAAATATCGGTTTGTCAACTTTTAGGAGATACGAATAAGTTCGACAAAAAAAATTTAGATAGAATTACAGAGAGTCAATGTGATAAGTTAGAAAGGAATAGTGAACAATAAAATATCATTCAATCAGATTCTACAGTAAAAGTTCTATACCTATTTCATCATATCATTATTATCCACCATTATTCAATCTCAAACATTTTATTGTGTATATAATAAAATTGTCCGAGAGTATTGACTGATTCCAGAACACTTCGTTAGAAGAAGCCGCAGTGAATCTATAATTTATGGACAACCTCTGAGCGACGCTAAATTGACCTTGAGAATGTCTACCTACTTACAAGGGCTAAATGAAGATTATGAAGCAGTATGATTTACAAATGATGGTTAGTGTTGGGAATTAAATTTATGGTTTTTATAACTGACTGACATCAGCTATAATGCCAAGACGCTATTTAGACAAATGGATGAATGAATATCGCGCAAAAATCCAAGATCATTTAACTTAAGTCTGATTGGTTCGTCCGTAAATTATAGTCTCACCGAATTCGCTATAGTTTCGAAATGGAAATTAATTTGATCAATAGTACACCGAAATCACGTAACATCCAAGCACTACTAAAACTATATTCACAAGTATTAAAATGTAGAAAATCTTCATTGATGATTTCATTCAGATAAATTTTCCATTTACCGTAAAATTGACCGCTCTAGAATAAGCAACTACCGAACGGAATTCCTCACACTAACCATCACGAAACAACTTCGTGCATATAAACACAACTTCGTGAGACAAACCAGATATATATTGTTATTTATAACCGTTACTTAAACAGAATGATATCTAATAAGATTATATTCATTCAGTCTAAAAGTATACTCTGTTAGCCTACAATTTTAAAAAACCTAAATATTTGTTGCTAGGTATTTTTGGTATTAACATATTAACAATTGATCCCAAGAAAAACAGTATAATATTGTGAACTAATTAGCATTTTTCGTAAAGCAACGAATAATGGTGTTAAACAACTGAACTGTAATCCAGTCGTCTAAGTGTTTGGTGATTTCCTAATGACGCATCTTTCTAGAGTAAACTTCTCAAGTGATCATTAGATTTGCACTGCTAAATAATTTAATATTAGAATGGACTAGATGTCCTATGTCTTAGTAGTTCTCAATGATTTAATCGATTTGTCAGCTTTGGTTGTTGAATAACAAATCGGCCGTCCAAGTAAATGTTCAATAGTGGTGAATAAATTGAGGATGTTAGACGACTCTCTGTGTTTGATCATCGTTGTCTCTGAAGGATTGCTGGCATCCAGTGGCAACACCATGTTAGTAATGCAGAGGTTCGGCATCGAGTGTTCGGTCACAGAGACGATAATGAAATTGGTGTCACCATCTTGAAACACCGACTTCGGTGGCTTGGACATGTTCTACGAATGTCGTCCCAGAGAATTCCACGTCGTGCATTATTTGCCGACTCTGGGACTGGTTGGAAAAAGCGGAGAGGTGGTCAGTATATGACATGGTGTCGTGGTATGAAAGAAAGCTGCAAAGGGCTAGCTTCTGTTGGTCCTTCACAACTCCCTGGTTGGGGTCCGAGAGACGGTGTAACGCAGTGGCTAGAGACGTTATCAGATATGGCTAAGAATAGAAGCCAGTGGCGATCGTGCTGTAACCTCTTACTTTCTTCATAAAAAGTGGTTGTATCTTCCTTAACTGAAAGATCTCTTCTGATTGTACCTTTCCGTTTCCCCCACCATTGTTCTCTCTCTCTTCCTTTTTTTTTATAATTCCCCACGTTCATTACTTTTTTTTTCTCTTTTCTCCTTCTCTTCAAATTATCATTGTTTTGTGTGGCGCATATATATTTGGTGCCCCTCTGTACCAATATTTATGTGTTCAAATAAAAAAATAAATAATAATAATGAATAAATTGAAATGAAAACGAATACATCTAAATTTTTACTAAATCTGATTTGTCGGAATGTTAGCAATATATAGATAGGTTATTTTTTAACCAATCAGCTCTATTGGATACTTGAAGAAGATTATAATCTTCTTATGTAAAAATTACGAATATACTAACTTTCGTCTGATTGTGATTCTCACTTCCATCCAACCTTGTTATTTGGAATATAATTACGTTCCTGTTCAACCAAGTTCTGATTCGGAGACTTGTCGAGTGAAATGATGTCCAAGATTACTAAGCACTAAGAGTAGATGGGTCGCAGTAAGAGAAATCATAACATGAGGTGATCATTTTTATAGATTTGCTAAGAAAAAACGTCATACAGAAGTTAAAATGACTACTAGCATTAAAAAAATGATATCCTTACTGGGGTCCATTCTCCTATATCTCCAGTATGTAACCAACCGTCTGAGTCAATTAGCAGCGCTGTATTTTGAGGATCTTTGTAGTAACCTTTCGTGCATCGCTTACCTTTCACACATATCTACAAAAAAAAATACCCTAAATTTTGTTTATATGTAAAACATACTGGTAACATTTGTAATCAAAGGTCCACTATGAACACTAATTTTAATCCTATCAACTAAATATCAGTAAATGTTTTTAAGTTAGGGAAGGAAGAACAAATGAAAATGATAACTGGAAACAGAGAATGATAGCAATAGTCTCATACAAAACAGTAAACGTTACAATTTAGCAGACAATCAAAACACAGAGACAGATGACATGTTCATCATGGAGATATCATTGCAATTTACAAATATAGTTCAATTCAGATGTAGTATTTAAAGGCCAGGATAACCATATTCTAACAAAATAATCAAAGTTGTAGATCGCGTAGGTTGAAGGTTAACCAAAAAAATTCCACAGACACTCAACCAAGAATTTTTATCCTACTGTCTTAATAGGAAGATTCATGATGTTGTTTTCCGAAATTAAAACAGAATGAACGTACAAATTTTATAAATCTCGGTACGTACATTGGTTGGAGTGTCAATACATTTTTAAACTTCATATAATGACATCATTTCGACAATTCGTAATTGAACCACTCAACATAGAGGATATAATTATCCGTTCATAGACTGAATGAAACAGTAAGTTTTCAAAATAGTTGTAACACTTTGAATTTCATGGAAAATTGTGAAAAACTTTAGCACATACAAAATGACAAAACTATATAAAAATACATTTTTAATGAAGGTTTACTTTATTAAAAAATGTACCACAAAGGAACTTAAGTTAGCAACAGACACGAAAGCTCACCTCTCCTCGATTATCTCTTTTGACAACAAGACCTAAATCTAATACGTCGGCCAATTTGACTTCTACACCATAAGCGACTGCGCCCAAAGCACCAACACGAAATTCTCCGACTAAAGATACGGTTACAACTCCCATAGTCTCTGTGCAACCAAAGCCTTCGACAACCTAAATATTTTTAAGACCAGTTTTAAAGTGACTAAGAATTAAAAATTAAAACGTATCAAATGCGCTAGGAGATACTAACTGACAATTCGGTAAATATTTGATAAATTTTATTTATGCAACGACCCTTAAATATGGTTTCGTCTACCATTTAAATCTACTAAAATGAATGCACCGTCACCGTTGAATATTTTTTCGACAATTACTAAGAATCCGTGATATATTCCTTATAACATACAGGATAAGTCCAAATATGCTATCAGTTAAATAATGGACTGATTATGAGAGTTTGTTACCATATTTTTTATATAGAATCTTAATAGCTACAAACATATGAATCAATCTGCTTTACTATTTCTATTAAAACATGATAAAATGAGATAAATAATGAGAGTAACTTGAATTACTAAGATGTTGAAAGGTTTAGAAGTGAACGTAATAAAGAAATAAACGTTTGCATTTAGAAATTTACTTTGGAACTCATAATTGTAGAAGTTTTATCACCTGAAGTTCAACATCTATCAGAAAATCTGTTATTATTATTTGATCAAATGTTGATGCCTATCAACTGTGACAACACTGAGTTTTGCATATTATCTTGCAAACCGCATATTTCGTATTTTGCAGCCATTTTCAAGAAATTTTTTCGTTTATCAAAAATGTAACGTGTAATAGAACTTTTACTTACAGACTTCAGGTGTAGCACTAACCAAAATACTATTTAACATACGACATTACTGATGTGATGCGATTTCATAGAATAACAAGCGAAACGATAAAATAACTATTTTTAAAAACCAAGGATTGTTTACTAATAATAACCAGTGCTTATCGACTACATTTATGCTGTTAATAACTTAAATGAAGTCTAATGGATCCAATCAATTAATCAAACAGATAAATTAGATATTAAAAAGTTAATTAGTTATAAGGACCACATTAAATGATCACCTACAAATTATGCAGAACATTAAAAATAGTTATTACAACTGCAGTGTGTGTGCAGCTTTGAAACTATATATCTTGCAGAGATTGTCACAACTCGAAATACATTAATTGTTTCATATGTAAAAATACCAAAACAATACTAATTTGGACGAATTTACATATATAGTTTTTGACTTACAAGTCCATTAAATACAGCACGCAAAAACTGTGTAATTTCGGGCATCAAAGGAGCACCGCCTGTTATTATTCCACAAATACGTCCACCAAGAGCTTGGCGAAGTTTTTTAAAGCAAAGCGTGTCCAAAATACTTTGATGATTAAATTTCCCCCTAATGAAGAAGAAATTGAATCTTTTAACCTCGCTCTTATTCACCAAGATAATTATCAACAGAAATAATTCCACACTGAAGTGTTATCATTAAATAGAAAAACCAAGGTAGAAGTCAACATGTTCAAGTTACTGCATTTTAATAAGCTATAGAAAACTAGAGAAACGGAAAAATATTATTAATATTGAGCAAGCAATTCTTATACGAAACTGGACACGAAAACAAATGAAAAGTCACTAGCAGATGAGAAAATCAATCACATTTAAGAATTCGACCACAAAGCATTCCGTTGAACTCAGGCTTCTAGTTGACTCATCAAACTAATAGAACAAGCTTGCTATTACTATCTCGATAAAATTAAAGTATTACTTCCTAAATCATTTAAATAAAGGATTGAGACAACCGATATTCACCAGTGGCGATAAACTTGAATATGAGTAATCAGTTGAACCAGTGATATTAACTTTGAGGACAATAATATTTTGTACCGAATGTGATACAAGTATGTGTCTTACATAGGATGGTTTCTTTTGAACTTGAATCTATTCAATAACTATCCACTTTTCATATGACTCCCAAAGGTCACTAGCATCTCATGAATTTACTCAGTGCCAACTCCAGGATAAAATACTCAAAAGAATAAAAAAGATTATAAATTCGTCTACGAGGTTTCAAGTCATACTTGTTGAACGTACAAACTAAAGGTGTGAACGAATAACTTTTAAGCAAGTACATAACAACACTACCAGAGTACATACTCGAAATACCTCAGTGCGTAAGAATATACATTTTGGGATACAGTTGTAAGGTATGGATATATTAAGCGTTAGGAATATTTAAACCGTTGTTTCAATTAATAGATAGATCATGTTGACCAAATATAAAAATCATTAGGATTAGAAGGCTTTTGTAAATACATAATGATGACAAAGTTGGTTTGTGATACGGTGAAAAATCTACCAACAATTGATATGTACATTACATAGGTTTTGAAACAGAAGTGTTCAAAGTCATACCCATGTTTAACACCAAATGTGCCATTAGACTCAATGCCTGGGTTCGGATTACTGACGGCTAATATGGCTTGTATTCTCTGAAAGTCGATCGTATTAGAATTCGACTAACTTTTGGCATGGGAGGTTCGCACTATAGAAAACGTTTTTTACTATTAAAAAAATATCAACTATGCAAAATGAACTAATATGAACTAATAATTTTTTTAAACGCTACACAATTTATGACAAAAGAGTATTTACCGTTTTTGCTCGCCAAGCTTCTGCTTTATTACATGATTAACCAAACGAGTTTTTAGAGCTGATCCTTCAATGGCTTCATAATACTTGGTATAAATACGGAATAAAACACGTGGAACAGCAGTTAATATAGTTGGCTTTAGACTTTCACAATCAGCAAGTAGTCCATCGACAGTACTTGTCAAGAACCCAATTTTAGCTCCTTCGAGAATGACAACAGACTATAAAATATTAATTAAGCATATGAAAAATGAGTTATACTTTTAGATAAACGTGACTACAGCAAGATCAATTATATCAAACATTGTACAACTCATAATTAAACCTAATATCAACTCTGTGAACGTGATTACATGAGTAATCTTCGATGTATTTTTGTTAGTAAATTGTTCAACACAGGATCTAGCATTAGAATTACAAACTGAACAGAAACAATAGAGAAACAAGCTACTTGGGAATAAAACTTAAAAACACAATTGGTATACCCAAATCTGATATTTAAAGAAGCGTTTGGAGCGAAATCACCAATAATTATATGCAAATGGCTTGTTTTAGATCTTTCTTTTTAAGCCATATATCCTCGTGGTTTTGATATCCTTCACGTGTCCAAACTTAAGCAATTGGTCATCCAAAAACTTTTAATCCCGAGTCTTGACGTCAGATGTTTGCTACCAGGAAAGGGGGAGTCAATTACAGTCTTATGCATGGTTTACTCTATTAGAATCTGAAAGTTTATGTCCAACCGTGTCTACGAATCCTGGGTTTTTCGACTGTCTAACCCATATCATAGTTGTGAAGGCATTTCTGCAGTTTGTATATAATACTGGACATATGGGACTAACTATGCCTTCTATATGGTAATCTTACTCAGTAAAATCACGGAATCAACGACGTTAGAATGAGGATTTATGATAAGTTAACAAATGGATGTAGATCTGAGCGAACCGATCGCTATCGCACGAGTTATTAAACATTCCTCACTAATATAAGTGATTATTTTTACGGAAGAATTGAAATTCACAAAAATATTAAATGTGGACCGTTTGGTTTTCGTTCTGTGGTTTAAAATTATTGAGGGTTGATGGTCATATGCTCTAACCCATACGTGGTCGTAAGTGTACACTTCTGAGAAGTATTATCTTTTAAATGCTTCTCAAGCAGATTTCAACTTGTAGAGAAAACCAATTTCAAACAATGATTGTTAACCTAATCCGTCTCACAAACTACTCTCCATGTAGGTATCATTGCCAAGGTTTGACTTGATAATTTCGAATAAATTGAATATTGGGTAGATTGCTATAGATTAATGAAATTCTTGTTGTTCCGTTTCTACAATTTAAACTTGGATTAATTTTGACTTGGTTATTTATTCTCTGAAGAATTGGCTTACACTAAGTCATGAAACGTCAAAAAATCTGCTTTTCCTACTCATTGGGATATTACAAATATATTGTTTATTTACTCTCCATGTAGTTAAGATTCACGAGAAAAAGTAAACAGATACCTGAAACTTTTGATTGATACTGTTGTAAGAACCTACGTGCAGATGAATGCATTCTTTTTCGTATTATACACAGTGCATAACTTATTATTTTTTGCTATGTATTCCCCATTTTACGTTGTTCTTTTTATTACCGATTATTATCATTATTGTAATTAATGACGGCAGTTATGTTGTTTCAATTTGTTGATTTTCGCTAGTTGTCCTCTCTCCACGTATGAAAATGAAACTTTACATTAATGTTCTATTCGTTCATCCATCCAGTGTGGAGAATATAAAGTAGTGATTAGTAACTACATTCAACTATGTTAACTGAAAATGGTTTGAAAACCGATAGTCAAAGAAAAGTAATCCTTGTTTGTATATCGACTGCCAGCCTTTTAAAACAATAGAATACAGCGCATTGCTAATTACGCTCATACAATGTGAAGTCGCAGATTTTCTAAACAAATGAGTTTAGTTGTTTTTATTCATTGATCTTATAAACTGCTTTCATCAACTTGTATAGTTGATTATTTGTTGTTATAAACCTGGAGAATTAAGTCACATAAACATAGTTTTAAAGAATCTTTTCGCATAAAACAGTAGCTGACACCTACAAATCAGAAAAACTGAATGCAATAAACAAACGAGTTATATATTTTTTTAAAAGTAAGATGTTCAGTATTTGAATAATGACATTTATCAGAGCCATCGGATAGGAAGCTTAATTATGCAATTATTCGAAAAGCAATTGCTAAATATAGTCGTTTCTAAAGGTAGTGGCGTTTATTATGACTTTAAGTCTTTCAGTAAACTGCGTGTTACATCTCCAATTTTCAAGTTGCTCACATTTCTTATAATACCATAACGATTGCACACTAGAGAGCAATTTGTGCTACTGAAAATTACGTTTAGTTAAATTTTAAGAATGTATTTTTGCTAACATGGCAGTACTATTAAAGGAACGACACAACACTCATGAGACCTTTTCGGATTTTGCTTGGTATTAAGTGGATTACGGTTGTACCGATAGACTTAAAACCATGAATCGAGCTCAACGTTTGTATTTGTAGATGTGGAAAGTCATAGTCTAATGTTTATAACAACTCGTTGCTCAATGACGATGAAATCTAATACACTGAAGTAAGCACAAAATTGAAATCTCTAGTGAGATCACGTATCTTTAAGTTAATACAAGCTAAAGAATACAGTGATATCAAAATTATTTCGATGGGTCTATATTACTAAGTATATAGGAATTTTATATAACAGTAATTTCAGATTCCTAATAAATCCCTATATCATTTCAATGAATTAAAATCAGGATGATAATATCAAGTATGAACGATCAGTTTAGGATCAAATGGTTAAAAGGGATCAAAAAGGTACATGTGAATATTGCTCATGTTTACTACTAGACTTAAAAATACCAACGTTCATAAACACTGATTGCTGATAGCAAAAAATGTATTCTTTCAGAGTGTAGCCAAGATTTTAGAGTAAATATTTAAGGAAGAAAAAGGTAAGTTGTGTATTGATTTTGTTCAACAGATGATTATGCAAGTGGGTTTGAACTAGAGTGTAATAAAGTGCTTCGGAAACGAAATTCTTCGTTATTTTTGGATAACTACTAAAAATGTATGATAGAGATGACTTGATAAAAAGTTAACCAAATTATCGTGCCTCTAGTCCAATGTAAGGGGGACAAAATTAGATTTACTCTTCCAAGAGTAAAATACCTTAAACAGAACGAGAAATAAAATATACCCATTCTGAGTTCACTATAGCAGTTGCAAAACAGGGGTTAGAAAGCCATTTGTTTACTTAAAAGTAGTGTTCAGCAACAATGGAGTACCCAAATACGAAAAATAAATGTTCAGACCAATAGAACTCATAATAAAATTATCAAAGGAGGACCAGGTCAAAACTGCTGAGGTTATAGTATTGCTTTCCGCAGACTATAAAGTACAATTTGAACAGAATTATGCCATTTGCTAAGTCGTTGGAACAATTTTTAAGAATGAAATAAATTCATTTGTAAATAATAAAACATAATATTTAGAAGAAAATCGGTCAAATACACCATATCCGAACTAAACAAAAACAATGAATAATATTCTGAACACCACAATATGTTAGGTTTCGTATATTTTTCATCGAATGGTAGAGCTGAATTAATAGGATGGATAGTTGCGTTTCCAATCTGCTGGTAGTCATAATAAAATTTATTATCATTAAGGAGAATGAGCTGAAAAAGTAACTACGGTATAGTATACCGAAATCTCATTATCCTAACTGTGAAACAAGACAGATCAGATAATAAAGTTTTACTTGAAAATACGCCAATCTTTAAAAGCATAAACACAAGTAAATAGATGATAAGAGTTTACAGAAAACTCGATCCTCACTGACGTAACCCTAAATTACAAAAACAATCCGGAAGCACATGTGCTATTCACTGAGATCACACAATACTCCACTTCAGAAACAAAGAATGAAAATGTAGGTTCTACTAACCACTTCCCCTCTATCATAAATTCTCTATTCAATACTGTTGATACTTCAGAAAAATTAACGAATGTTCATGAAGTCACGGAAATACCTTAAATCTTGTAGAGGCCAGAAACGAAAAATATATAGGAAGAGCATATTCGAAAAAGAGATAATATTAAATCTTGTAAGAAAGTATGAACTGGATAAATCATAGGCATGAGTAAATACTCAGTGATCTATGAATACTATATACTGTGCTCAATATTGTTTATAATTATAAACAGAGATATAGCTGAATGTAAAAATTTTTGCTTAAGAAAATAAAGGTGTTATAGAATTTTAATAAGACGGGTTTTGAGCCCGATTTGAATCTGAAGGATGTTTTTATACCAACCCTAATTGAGCGAACAATAAGGGAAACGATCGATACAAATACTCAAATAGATACATAGGCGCATCTTACACTGCAACTGTCGCGAATTTATCTTGATTTTCTAAGCAACTTTTGATACCTAAATCGGTTTGTGTATAAAAGATAAGACATACAATAACACTCATAATGAACATTGTTTTATAAGCATAAGTAATCCACATTCAAGAACATACAAGTTATGATAAACTCACAGAGTTTACTTGCTCCATGATATGAGCAAATGGCAAATATGAAAGATGCGTTGAAAATTTATTACAGCACTGAATAAACGAAAATGAAAGTAAATGAAAATACAGTGAATTCCATGCAAAAAACATCACTACAATTAAAAAAAAACAGTGCGATTCTGAATAATAATAATAATAATATGCCTATTTTTAATTGTTTGTCAAAGCGATACAGTACAGTAACATTTTCTTATCAAGTGGGGTGTTATGAAGCGGTTGAAATTTCTCCTACTCTCGTCTTATTGACTATAACTAACTTCTTGTCTGAGCCATGCTGACAAATACAGACTACTTGGTTGGGGGCAGCACAACTATCGTAACGTGTGTAGGGACTCTAGATGATATGGCTCAGAATCGATCACAATGGAGTAGGTGTATACACTCTTTGTCTTCCCTTAAACTGTGAGATTATAATCACTTTACACCTTTCTTTCTACGAACTAATTCTTTCCCTGTGTATCATATCCTTACATGAAAATTTTTTGCTACCATTGAAATGACTGCTTCTATGAATTTGGCGTTCATCTTTCTGTGCTAATGAGATATGATAACTTGGACCGATGCATATATGATCCTGGTCCTGAGTTGGAGCTGACTGATTGACTGCCCATAACCAGTTGTACAGTAAGCATTCTATATACATCCTGTTAATTCCGGAATATAGCAAACATTGATCCATTTTTCCCAATTAAGACAATCAATAATCATTACTCTTCACATGCAGATTTGGTCTGAATACATATATCTATAACTGAAAAATGACTTACACTAAAATTAATACTCATTTAGACAATTTACATTGGCTCCGATAGACAGACTGTTATTTGCGAGGATGATTGAACTGAAACCCTAATAACAATTAGATTGAATAGTAAACGTTGTTACCGAAAAATAACTCATGTCAATTCGGCGACTTTTTTTCTTTTAACATAAATCATCACCCTAGTGCCAAAAATGTTTCACATGTAAGGAATGCAAAAATTATCTTGAATGAATGCAGATATAATATACATATAACAAAACAGAATACCGCAAACATATGTATGTATGGTGCGACAATATACCTTTTTCATCCACAGATGCCTTAAATTAAAAGTTTTGCTCTATAAACTAACCCATACAATCAATAGTATTTGTTCCACTATCAAAAAATTATAAGTATGGAAGAATGGATTATTCATTGGCATAAAGTACACAAGACTGGTTAAATCTAGTGAATTTCACGCTGTAACAATACATCAGTCAGTCATAATCCCTAACATTGATGTGATTAAAAAGGAGTTATGAGGTCATGTGGTTAGACATGATTGCCAAGATTTAAGTCAGTCACTGTAAATAATTGTTCTGAAAATAAACAATCGATAACGTTATAGAATAACCAAAAATGTACTATCAGTTCACTAACCTTCTCTTCAGTATTTTCAATGATTCCAAAGACTGCATCGACAATTTGTTGTTGTTCGATCATCACACCTTTTGGTAAACCTACACATAATGTATGAGAAATCAGAGATCAGGGGATATTTATCAGACACCAAGAACCAAAAAAACTAACCAACCACAAACTTTACATTCAACATAGTTTGGAAAACTAAATTACTTCATATAGCTTAAAGTCACTGTATTTTCATAAAAGCTAACTGAGCAGAGTCCGTTTATCGGGAGTAATAAAGGAGATAAAGTTTCAACCTATCCTAGTGATTCAATGACTAGATTGTTGCAAAACGGCTACATTAGTTTTGATTATCTCGAGCAAAGAAGAATAGAAATCAGTATTTTGTTTCAAGAACGATTTTCATAGGTGAACAGAAAATTGTCTGTCCATAAAAACTACAAGAAACTTAATAAATCATAACGAAATGAAATAAAACGAGAAAGTAATTATGAAACTACCTGTGCTTCCACTGGTAAAGCAAATCATATATAAATCATCTGGTTTAGGATCCTAAACAAAGTTAAAAATTAAAAAGTTAATTTACATTTGACACATAACAATCGTATAGAATAACATTTATTAACTGTTTGCCTATTATTAAATGCTGTAATACATTGCACGCGACCAACACCTTATAGTTTTAAATCATATCAAGACGAAAGTTGTATTCTAACGTCCTTTATCAACTAATTATCTATAAAAGAGACTGTAACCCAGGTTAATCTAACTAATAACTAATCATTTGCAAAAGTGACACATTCGAGCCAGATGTTTTTGGATGGTTAAATTGATGTGTCACAGAAATGTAGACAATCCACTTAGCGATTTTATATTGCATCATTTATGCTCAATCTTTTTATGTTAACACTGCTCTTGTTATTTGTTTTTAAGGCTATACAGTGGCCAGATATCGATGGAATCACGTTTGAGTTATCAAAAATTTATATTCATATTAAATGAATTCCGGTGTTGCTTAAATTATTATTGGAGAAGTATAAAAGACTTTCATTCATTGATTTGTAATTTGATGAAGGGAATGGTGTTTTAAGACTGCATAATGACATATTCAAAAGAAAACATTAATTTCGATTTGTTCAACAAGTAGGTTTAGGAACAACCTAACTGGACTCTAATAAAAGAAGGTAGTAAGCAAAGTAAAATTGCAAGTTCTCAGATCTGACTCTTTCTAGATTGAAAAAGCAGCATAATTGGGAATTTTCGACAATCGAGAAAAACCTCTTTACAGACCTCAAACTTCTACTCACTCAACAAGAGATTTTGATTTTATTAAATTTTCAAATTCGTCAAAATTAAGTAATTTGCTTTCAGACAATGATGATACACAAAATGCAGGGTTACATTGAAAACCGAGAAAACCTGACACTTACAGTTTTTGGAATATGATATTTAATTCCAATTGCCTGAAAGAAAAAAAACAGGTGGTATAACAAATGTAAATTGTCGTGCTTATCTTACCTTTCTCAGAAAGTGAGTATCACTTATGTGTTATGTAACATAGGTTATGCAACGATTTGAACAGGTAGTTATGTTAACAGCAGATTTACACATTAATATCACTGCTGGAGTAGTGGTCATATTGTTGAACTTAATAGACGGAGGATAAACATTTAACACTAGTAAATTCGATCTCAATAATAATATTTGGTATACTAAACGTGTTATTATTTTCCCAACATAAACAATATCGAAATTTTACTATTCCGTTTAGTAAATTTATATTATTCCTGATATGCAAAATAAACAAGAACTGGAATAATAAAGTTTTATGAACCAAATCAAGCAGATGTGTTAGATAATTTACTACAATGGCTTATTTATAAATTGTTGCAAGAAATGTGATGATTTTATTTTCTGTTCTCAATTCAAATTGAAGTATTTGCTGACTTAACTGACACTAGATATAAGCATGAAGTTTATACTGCCAATAAGAGAGAGGTTCAAAGTCGAATGTTGGTTGTTAGATATTTTTTAAACTATTACTAGGCAACTTCTTAATACACTGTCGAGAAAATTATTGTTCTATTTAATGCAAAGAACACTAATAACCAGTTTTAAAACAACGTGTTTACATATAAATTATGAAGATCAACTGTGACACTAAGGCTGTAAAAATCATTGAATAACTAGTTCACTCTTTTCGGAAATAACGTAGTAACCTAATGGTAGCATCAGATGATAGCCGAGATGTCTTAAAATGACTGAAATAGAGAATGTACATTGCATTTGAACTTTAAGGCCTAAATAGACAGTGCAATCTATGGGATTCTTAACGTGAGTGTGCACTGCCGAAAAAGTTTTGAATAGGGGCGAAATAGTTTTATGATCCTTCGTAAGGTTTCGTTGATGTCAGCGTTCAATCCAAGAGTTTCTAATGCGCTTATCATTTTTGTGTGTTCACTAACCCGATGAAATATATAAAAACAGAAGCGATATATATTAAATGCTCATTCTATTTTAAATAGTGCTCAATAATTTGATGAAGTTTGAAAGGTAAAGTATTCGAAAATTTTGTGATCGTATTTCACATTTTTCAGGCAAGAAAAAAAAGCTGGGTTTTTTCCTGAAGAAAACAGGTAAAGATACTAGTTACAATAAGATACAGAATATAAAACAACATAATGTAAAGAACATTGTCCTCTGAATAAATAAAAAGTAAACATGTTACAAAGAACCAATGAAAGAATTCAATAGCACATTCATTTAAAAGGAACGTAGTTATAAACACAAAAGGGATATTGTATTTACAAAAGAAATTTTCATCAATGAAAATTATGATAGAGGGTAACCACTACAGACAAATCAAACCTGAAGATTAGAGTTATAATGATAAATATGTCAATACTTATTGGAGAAATAGTTATGAAAAATTGTATTCAAATAGCAATTTAAACCAATTACCTACATTCATCAGCTTATTTGAGCTAATCTTTAGGAAGGAATAAATAAAAATGTCTAAGAGCATTTACAATCATGCAAAAATGAGAGGCAGATTTTATCGAGATAAATTTCAATCTAACAAGTGCTTTCCAGACATTTTATTAGTTTTTTTTCATCAAATCTATGATGAAATGTTCATATGATAGAAATTCATAGAAACACTTACTAAAAATTCATCAAATAAATAGATTTTCACATTTGATGAAAATCGAACCTTGGCTTCTGCGACTTTAGGACCATCATTTACTACAATTACTAAATTGATGAAGGACGAGGATTGTTCTAAGATACGGCATATTTCTTCACCCGAGTCACACACAACAACACGTAGTTCAGCTGTAACGAATTGATAAGAAAAATGAGTGGAAAACGAATGTTGGGATTAATATTTATTAGTAACGGAATATTTTAACCAACAAAAACATCTCCATATCGAGTAACAACACTGGAAAATGCATCGTATACCGATAAGCAATAAAGAATGAGGTACAAGTATCTTCAATATATCTTCACAGTACTAAAACCGAGATATTACATTAATCCTAGAAACAATTGATTCCTGACCCAAGTTAATAATGAAATTGTAAGATTTCACCCCATGGTGAGATTGGGCAACCATTCCACCCAATATCGCTATCGTACTGGAAAAACGGAGACAGATGGTTATTGTTCACACTCTGCCTGAAGTGTTCTTGTAAATAGCCTTCATTGTGTGAATGAATTTCTCACCCATATCGTACTTGAAGAGTTTTAAAGTACAATCCTGTCAAACAAATTCAAAGTAACGATGATTAACCTGGAATAAATGTGACGTCTCTCTAAGACTTATTCGATGGTGGAGACGTCAATGGGGCTACGACCACAAAGAAAACTAGCTTGATCCTTGCAATTCATTCTTTCGTGAGTTTATCACAATCTGTGGAGTATGAAGGAAGCTGGTAAATCGGTAGCAGTCTGAAGTAGAGTTACCGACTGATATTTGTAGCATAACATACTTAGGTCTCCTTTTAAAAAATAGATATGACGATCGCTTAATCCAAAGGTGATGGAGCACTTGATTCCTCGAGATTTTCAAAACAACTTAATCAGTTCTCTGACCAGAAGTTCGTTAACATTCATAAAAAGACATGAGAGTATGCCACTAAGACCGGTAGCCATTGGGCCAGGAGCACGGGACAGTTCGACCGACACTTCTGTAGAAACAAACTAATTGAACCGTCCCTCGGAGTCCTCCATACAGTGCTCGAAGCACTTTTAGAGACTACTAAATGGTGTGTCATCAATTTGATAGATTATTTCTCTCACATTAGATCACTTGCTGCTAGTGGCTCGGATGAGTTGAAATAGCTTTTGGGAGTTACCAGATGTATCTGGTTTCAATTCACAAGCAAACTCCAACTAACATGTCTCTTGTTTCTTATTCAAATTTCGTAAATTTCTTAAGGATCAATGTGCAGGCTGATGTGCCTCAAGGAGTTAAAAGGAGTCTTCAGAACTCGTTCTATTCCATTGATTTATAATAAATACATTCCAAAACGTAGTTTTTTGATTAGATTTTGTAGAAAGTTGACATATCAAAGTCTAAAAGTGATTACGAGGAATGAACGCGATTATCTTCAACGTGCTCTTTGGCTAACGATGAGAAGCAATATAACAAGGATATTTTTAGAATCGCGTACGTATACAACACAAATATCAAAAATTTCATGCTAAAAGATTTATTAATAAAGTTAAAAGTCAGTTTACTGCAAACATCAGGGATAATTATCTGTGATTTCAAAAATCGTAAAATCACTTTTGAGGCTCTTATCCAAGTCGCTTAATTGATAAATAGAAGTTAAAAATGTACTTCATGAATAAGAACCAAACTGTCTGAAAGTCAATCTGAAATACTCCCAGCGCAATTCTCATATTGTAGATCAAGTGGTCCCCGTCTGATAATCAACATAATCGTTTGGTTAGTAATCGAATTCAACTGACTAATGTAATTCACAAGTACTATTTACATACAAATTATACAGTTCGGAACAGTATAAATACGAACTGAAAGTTTACAACTCACATATTTTTCGTACGTAAGAACTAAGGAGAATATTACACTTATAATCCATTTCAATAAAAAGAAAGATATTTAATTTCAAACAGGCTTATACATTAAGTAGGTGAATGACATAATGGAATTCTGTTATTGATATTGTGATATTTTAAACACAATTCATTAACGATAATAAATTCCGTATTTCGAAATAGTTTTTGATACTCCCAAAAGGATATTAGCATATCCGATTAGTAAAGAGAATAAAAGCATTATAAAATAGCTGACAGATGTCTTACTTAGCTTAAGGATATGTTGCATGGCTTCATCACCTAAAGTTGCATAGATAGGAACTATTGGAAACCCATAGGCTGCACAGGCGTGCTGCGCAATAAACCACTGTAAAAAAAAAAATTCAAACTAAATACTAAATAGAGTATATTTTATTGGGAGGTTTTTGATAAATAGTTAATTCAAAAACTCATGATTGGTGCCTGAATAAATGATTGAAGTTGAAACAATTTAACAGGTGAAAAAAATATAACACATTGTGAGAAGGCTTTTAGTTATAACAGATTTATACTTGTCTTAATATGAATTACTAAAATAACTAAAAGAATATTGTCTTTAAACTATTGTGATGGCTTACTTAGAATCTAGTGTTACCAATAAGAACGTATTTGTTGATAATAACTTCAACTGGTCATAGACATAAAACTCGAAATACTACAAAAATTCTACATGAAGTTAAAACAAACATAATACGTCAATTTATTTTGTGAATTGAGAAGAGTAATGAAACCTTTCAAGGTATCTACCTAAGATGTAACCATGTAGCGAATGTCTTTGAGATGTTGTGGATAGAGAATTAGTTATTAAAAAAGTGTTCTAAAATGTGTGGTGTGTTACCAGTGTCCATCAATCCGTTACTCAACAGGTGCGTACGCAAAGCTGGGTTGTGTGAAAATATGCCAAACCATATCTCAATTTATAAATATCAGTGGTTAAGTTAAGCGTTTGATCTACTATAGGAGACTCAACAAACACTTTACTTCAAAACCTAATTTAAATACTCGCCATTGAATTATAAAGATATATCTAAACGTAAGTGTAAAAAGAGCAAAATATCAACTTGCCTCGGGTGAATTCCGACCAAAAATACCAACACAATTATCACTCCATGGAATATGAGAAGCAACTTTCATTAAAGCTGATCCAAATGCCTGTATTTTATCATCTACCTATGCCGACAAAATATTAGCTTTGTTAATGTATCTTACTTCTATATACGTTAACCAAGTATATTTTTCATTTGGACTAGAACGTCGTCCTAAACAGGGTTGAAAGCCTATTTAAAATAATAGAGGAATGAATTCAGACGTACATAGAAACTGGAGTGTTAAGCACAGCAAATAAAAATAGATTTTGAAGACGAAATCTAACTACATATCACGAGGGGAAACCTCATTCATTGTTCAGCAAAAATGATCAACAAGTGTCCGGCAGCTTCAAGGTATATGAAATAACATTACATTTCCGATAAATCATTTTTATCACATTCCAAGTGAAAAATTATCGAATTGAAGCTTTCATAATGAGCCCAATGCTTCTACCAATTACTTGCTAGCAGTTAAATACTACATTTTGGTAACAAAATGTTTTCTAATGCAGATTATGTGAAGCTGTTATTGAAACCAGAAAAATATGCTTCACAATGTTTCGTATACTCTAGATTGGGAGTATGGCGAAAAAAGACATTTGTTAAGTGGGAAATCGATATACGTGCACATCAACTCATGCAACTGAATTCGAAAAGGGAGATTTATTTTTCAGGAGGGTGGAGTGATAGACTGCGTAAATTCACACAAATCACATGTCCGTGTTCAAATGCCGCCTTTAGGTCAAAGACTAGGTGATAGATAAGGCATGCTATTGGGCGGAGCCTATAATCTGCATTGTCAAGGTTTAAGCTTATATGTTATTGTCTAGGTCTAGGAGATATATATACCAAAGATTCGCATACACTTGTTTTTGTTTCCCTATTACAGCTTTTCAGTCGTTTCTAGTCTTCTCACTTAGCTGTTCAGGAAACGTTTAGGAACCATTTTTTTTCGTATAAGACAACTGCAGAAAATAAAACAGATGCTAAACATTGATTGCATATAAAACAAATAAAATATTTTGAAAATATCGACATTTTGGGAGTTTGTTAATAAACCTCGTTTCCCATAAAAGACTTACGTGAAGTCTCCAAACCTTTTTCAAACAAATTCTTCATAGTGCGTACGTCAGAAAACTTGAGAGTAAGCCGAGTTGTGAAAGGTGATCTACGAGCCCCTGTCTAGAAAATAATAGATTGAACACTCAATTCTTTTTGATTTAAGGAAATTCCCACAATATATTTTTTGCTTCATTAAATTAAAAGCAGTTAGATCATTAATGTGCATTGATCATGTAAAAGCAAGCTGGTAGCTTTATTTACAATCAACCGAGAGTTTCGGCTTAGAAGTTTCCAATAGGGACATTCAAAAACTCAATAAATCCTATATCCTATCGGAATTTTGATTCAGTAAAACCCAGAATCGCAATTACAGACAATATAATGAGACCATTCAGACAAAAAAGGATGTGAAAATAAAACTTTTAAAACGTCGAATAACAAGTGTTTCAACCAATATAGCTCGATAGGCTAGTTACAGTAGGCAAGCCCAACCAGTATGTCAATGGTATAGCCATGACTCAAATAAAATTTACTCATGAACTTTATTTGTTTGCCCCCTATCTCAGGAATAGGACTCATACCATCCTACTACCTTGAAAATTGTGTTGAATGAATGAGTCTGCCCCCCTACAAAACAAGTTAACGGACAGATAATTTTCATAGCCTTATACTTAAAAAATGATATTTCATCGCATTTTAATAAGCATAAAAAATGTCTGACGAAAATAAACTGTCCGGAAATTGCTAGTTCAATTTTTAAAACTTTTAGATTTCTGTTTATGTATCAAAACGAATAATCCCAGTTATGAATGTCTATTGTTTCTTAAAAGACAAACAAGATTCCACTTTTAATGAAAGAAATGGAAATGCATAAAACCGTCTGCCAATAGATTTATATTATTATACTGTTCCTCAGTGTAGAACCGTAACTACCAGTCCTCATCATCAATTCAAAGTTGCCGAAGAAATTTCCAGAGGAACCTGTTCGAAAGTTAGCAGAAATTCTGCACTGAATCCTAAATAGTTATTATGCAGGGAATCATAAACAACTCAGGACCTAAAAAAGATATCTATAAGACCATGTCTCAATTCTTCATATCGGTACAGAAAGAAACCAAGCAGAAGAAATTAGATGCAATAATATCAATGGTAGGGTCCTGAATCAATGGTTACGATTATCTCGTGGTGATTACCTAGAAAGTTTGTTCCTTTCAACAACTATTAATCCAATGGTGAATGACTCTATGAATTGTTGTTATCCTCGTTTTTACTCTGCCTATTTCTATCCTACTATTATCCCAGGTAGGAAAGTGATTCAGGGTCGGTGATGGTCGGGTATGCTTAAGACGATTTCTAACAACTTAGATTATTGAGGGTCTGCAGATTGACTAACTAACTGAATTTTCCAAACTAACACCCTACCCTAAACCGTAATTGATATTATTCACAATACATAACCAATGCTGTGATTAAGTCCTAAAACTCTAAGCGAACCCTTAGGCCTCAAATGTCACAATTTACTGATATAAAGTAAAATCTATTGAGCTGTTGTACGCTATAATCGCTCTTCGATATGTAGGCAGATATTATGACTACAACATTGACGGCACAGACTAACAAAGGTTGAGTAAATTTTTAAATCCGCGATAACATTTCATCGGCCACTATTGACTTTCAGCCATGCTACCCAAGGTCGCACTATTGACTGTAATTATCTTGTGACCCACAAGTATGAAGTATGTCGCCTTGTGATTGAAGTAAGCGTGGAGTTCTTGAACTAAAAAAATCATAAATTTGTCTTATTCCAAAGCTATCCTTAGTACAATATCAAAATTGTCGTAGTAAAAAATACGAAGATAAGTTTCTATATATTTTTGCTTATGACTTACAGATACTTCTTGCAATTTTGACTGATAATGGAGTGAATCCGGTTGTCATAACACATCTTAATTACGACTGTATAACAATACTGAAGTGAGGAAACTAATAATGTTGTGGTAGAGTTTAACTTTAACACACTGGTGGCTACTGAACAATGTTGCAGCACTAATCACAGGTTAGCTGTTCATAAATCTAGTTAAACAATGAAAATAACAACTAATAGTTTGGTTGTGACCAGTAAATATCTAGACCAGAAGTGATCTCTGACTTCCAAGAATTAACCTTTAACTCAAAGTGTAATCTATTCATTTTGAATTTACTCATTTGGAGATATAATAATACACTACTTCTGCTCCTATGAATGAAATGCAAGGTATTTGACAACCTCTTAAAATCAAGATAAGGAACCATTGTTTTTCTCAACAACATTAAACACTAGTGTGACCAATAATATGACCAACAAAGCAGGCGAAGAGTGCCACTAGCACTCACACGGAGTAGTTCAAGGTAAAGCAAATAAACCTATACTTAATGAATAACATTGGGATCATATCAGACATCAATCATGTCCGGACACAACAAATATTGATCAAAAAATTATATCTAATTTATTAATATTCCATGTTGTGGACAAAGACTAACCTTGGAATCAATTATGACTGACTGTCTGTTTACATGTGGGGATACATATGGTTCCGAAACGTCTGGTCTGTGTACTTTGTAGTAGTGATAAGGATAATCTGATTGAACACCTAAAATTCAATAACAAATTCTAGTAAGAGTTTAAATAACGGTTTCGTAATATTACATCCACAGAAGTTATGAAACAATATACTCATAACTAATCATTTGCTTTCTCCACAAACTTGAGAATAGTTTATCACGGAATACAATATTGTTGAAATAGGATAGAATTTTTATTTCCTACATATATCAGGACTCAGGGAAAATACGCTTGATTAGTGAAAATCCACCATAGATTTAAAAGAAACGCTGTTGGAGGAAGTAATTCAGTAACGGTCACCTAAGAATACTGCCATAATAAAATCAATTTGAATTAAATTAGAACTCCTCTGCAATTGTTTACTGAAAATAACCCGAAAAGATGTAGAAGTACAAAACAACATTTATCGCATAAATAAAACGGCAGTTTTCTGCAGACTATTACCGCTCAATTAGTCAAACTTTGGCCCAACAAACATGTAGTATTAGGACTCTGAATCAACGTACAGTTTGTTTGCATCACCGCTGATAGTCTTTAGAGCTTCCCCGCGGTGGCGAATTAGACACTTTACCAAATATATAGTATTTAAAAAAGAAATTATTATGAATATTACTATTGTTGCCAAACTACATGTCCAATGATAAACGCATCTTAGTTAGCTAGACGAAACGTTGGAATTATTTAAATTTCAATCGCTGGGATTATTTCAAGTATAATTTTTACATATAATGGCATCTTAGTGTGGTTCATAAAACTTACCACAATATATTTTTGTATTTCCATATGTATTACACTCAAACAGTTGCGAATTCATAACTACGAATACGTTCTGTTTACAAACTGTGACCAAATATCAATAAGAAAACTTCATTGAAAATCATCGATACAGTTGAACTTTAGCTACAGTATTCCACTTTCAGATTGCATTCTTCAAATCACTCTCACATATTTAGCTTTAAACAAGCATTGTTTACAATTTTAATCTTATACTAACACGCACTACTGTGTGCATAGGAAAGTGTGAAAGAAGATTGGTAATTTACTATTAGTTGCTTAAAATGTGAGAAATTGGAGGCCAAGTAATTTGTACATGCAGCAATTTTCCAGACACTTCAACAGAGATTGATGCTAAAAAATCATGATTAACCACCACTCGGATGGTATCACTCATTGAAACACGTAAAGCTCGTCTCAAAGTTTGATGATAAATGATTTGTGGTAAATCAATTTTGTTGCGTAAACAGTTAGTATGTAGAAATAGCTCTCATTCAACGTTATTTTAAGTCATTTATCAGGGAAGTAAATTTTTCTCATACAAAATTTCGGTGGACAGAATCTTATCAACCAACATTATCAATATACCCAGGGCCTTGTTGTGTTCATCAAAAAATAAAATGAGTTTTGAGCAAACATAAGACGTTTAATTTCTCCAACATCACTAATTTTCGTTCAACATGGGAAACTATATGCAACTTTTTACCCCCAGTCTTTAAACCATTTTCACTTGTTAACTGGATAAAAGCATTAGCAAGAAGCATACTATTCTAATTACAGTTAGTATAACCATAATTTGGCTTTTCTTAAAACTATGAATCTAAAAAAGTTATTTAATATTTTGATAATTAACATCGAACGTTGTGGATTGCCTTGATTCATAGAACGTCAGCAATGCTTGATGTCTCAATTAAAGTAAGAACCTGTACCGTCACATTTCAAGCGAAAACTGTTTTCTCAAATTGTACCAAAAATCATCAACTTCAGTAATATTCTTTTTTCGTTGCTTTTTATTTTAGGCGAATCAGATAGCTCGTCCGGCGTTATTATCAAAAATCTTTACCACAAACGATTTTTGTTACCGATGATACAGTAAGGAAGTGGTGGGTCAAATAGCTTATCGTTTTACAACACAACCTGTTTAGAAACACTTGATTTCCTAAAACACCATAAAACTCCTAAAAGATCACATAATCTAAAGTTTAATCATACTTTTAGATTCCTATATGAAGACATTTTCATCCTAAGCACGCGGATGACATTAGTTTACTGTAAGATGAAAACCGGGTTATTGAAATCCTTCCCATCCATTTAATGATTGGTGTCTGTAAGAATAATATGCCTTTTACACACACAAAATACAAAATGCTTCTGCAAGAATGCCAGGATGTTGTTTCTACGCCGACTCTGTAGTTAATCAACGGAAGTACTTGATATATCTGTTATCTGGATGGTTACGTGGCTCAAACTAGAAGCCAATATGGATCCTGATGTAGTTTTTGTTGAAATTCGACGTAAAATTGAAATAATTTACTCGTAGTAAATTGAGTTTTTCTTAGCCTTATTAATTGCCGAACTGTTTTGCTTATCATATATTATTCTTGTTCACTTATTTATCGATTGTACTACCCTTTTCTTGTTTATTCCTTAACCAATTATCATTCCATTTGTGTGGTAAATATTTCTTGGCATCAACAAAAGTTATGTCTTTAAATATAGGTAAATTACAGCTAACTGACTCCTAAGTGAACTTAGTCAAAGCTACGCATAAGATTTGAGGAGGTGTACCACAGGAAGAAGCCAATCAATTATGATATCACAATATTTTAGCATGATGTTTTGACTAGTCAGGTTGATTTGGAGGGCACAGTGAATTGCGAAATGAAAATAACGTTTAATCATCTAATCTGTTGATCTCCTTCACATGATAGTTGTAACATACGGTTAATTAAACTTCCCAGTCCAAAACTGGGAGAGATAAGAATAGTGAGCTTGTTGAATAGGTATTTCATTTTAAGTTTTGTTTGTGAATCATCTGTATCGTCATGGATGCCAAATATCTCAAAGGTAATCTTATTGTCAACTGACGGGCCTCACCTTCGAGATAGACAGAAGTCTATCAGGTATGAACAAATATAAGATGAAATGCACACTAAATAAGTTACTAAACAATCTAGTTGATGGCATGAATTTTCATAAATCAAACCTGTGCTCTTTGAAACGTCCCGCTTTCCAGCTAAAGTAACCACATAACTCCCGGCACATTGCTTCAAGAAAGTGACACAATTACTTGCATATACATAGACTACTTTTCTTCAACTGGAACAATGAATACGTGAATAGGACTACATGATATTAATCCTGTAAGTTTTCTTGTCACTATGCTAATGCTATTTTCCTCTTCTTATTTTCTTATTTACATTTTCATTACCACTTTAATTCAGACCATCCTATGTCTTCACCTCTTTTACTCATTTCCTCCACCCTTACAATCAGCAGAGTATGGAATGCAAAATGACTCGATAACAGTTGTAGCTGCTTCTAGATATTTTATTATCCTGAAACATACATTTTTTCAAAATATACCAACAACCAACTACTAATCGAATTCAACTGAACTAATAGAAAAAGATGCAGACACCTTACAGTAGCACAAACGCTCAGTTTTTCAACAGAATCTCAACAACTAGAGCTAAAAGATGTTACACACTATTCCAAAATACACAAAACCAAACGCCCTGTACCTTGATAGTGTTACATACCAAACAAACTTATTCACAAAAGCTTCACATTAAACACTCAGAATGGAGACTTTCGGAAACAGATTTAATTCTTTCTGATATAGCTCAAGTTGAAATAAGTAAACTCTGACAACTTACAAGTAAGACTTGGCATAAACTCCTCTAAATCTAAGTATAAAGTAGGTGGAAAGGATTTATGACATATTCCTATTTCACACCGATCAATAAGAATAGCAGCTAAGGATACTTGATGTCTGATGTATCTGTAAAAAGCTGAAGTAAACCAATTACCCTTTCATAATGGCGTTTGTATGTTAGGTACAGATTCAGATCTTTAGTGACAACCATTGAAGGATCTAGTCCCTCGATCGCATTACTCCTGGTGAATCCAACAGTTAATTGAGGGTCGGTAGGCTTTGAATGTAAGCGAGTGTATTTGCTTTGATGTAGAGGGGTTGCTAGAACCAGTGGCTATCACAACCCCATGCAAAGATTGGTTGGTTGTAATCTAAAAATCGTACGACTATAGTACATATTAGGTAGATGAAAACAGAAAGATGCAAACTAAATATTTAAATCAGATAGATGAATGCATAAAACAACAAACAAACAAAGATTATATAAGATGAATTAGAATGCGGTAGGTAACTTATAAGAAGTATTGATATTACACAACAGTGCATCTAAGAATAATAGACAGAGAAACACCTCTCTCCGATGATGTATTCAGTTGATCATAACTCTAGGCAAAAGACAGCTATTCATAATTGGATATATGACTGTAAACTGAAAGGCTGTGCATCACCGAATGTTAATACATATTCCTATAAACAGTCAGGTCTCATTACTTCGAAGGTGTTGGCAATTCCAACAACCAGTTATAAAAACCAAATACATTCTACACGAAGTAACTCACATAATTTGCACTGCATTTTCCAGGACAAATGTATAACACTAAGATGTTATGGTATTTAAAACCATGTGAAAGTGCAATCGTAAATTATGACCTAATAAGATAATGAATTAAAACAAAACATTTTTAAACCAAAAAATACATTAAACTAATCATTCGTTCAAAGAGAAAGGATTCCATGCTAAAATCGCCAATTCTAAAAGCTCAGAATGAGTGGTTTTTTTCGCACACTCAGGAATATAGAGAAACACAGTAAGTCCTAACCAATAACGTTGTGGTGAGCTAGTGTAGACCAATTGATTTCTCTGTGCTTGCTCATCCATGGCAATATTTGAGAACGAGTTCAACGACATTAAAAAATGTTCGGCGGTCTACCGAAGGAACTTTCGTTATAATTTTTCCAGTTTGAGACTGCCATTTATGAGCTAATTCATCCACCACCACTTCTACGAATTCGAATAATGTTAGATTGAAAGAAACTATCCGGGCCTATCTCTTTATTCATAACTATCATTTTCTACTTCGGTAAGCATTTATCCTGCATTATACACTTCTCAATGCTTATAACACGTTTGGTGACCCATAATATATACTACAATCATTCAAAGCACTGCATTGATGCCTAGCTCACAGTTCATAACTTGTAACCAACTGATTAGGTTGTAGAAAAAATACTAATCAAAACAGTGTTCTCCAACAGGTTGTAAAACACAGAGCATTGTGTGAGATATACAATATTCATATATAAGACCTAATGTGTCCAAAAAAACTATATATATTTATTAGCCTTTTTACCACTTGATTCTCTTTCGATTCACTTTCCATTTCATTAAACATCTTCCAAATTCTAACTTTGACTTTCAATCATTTAAACCCATTTTAGCTTGCTACATATCACAGTTCATTGTTTTTGTTGATGAATTTTCTTAAAACACCTCAAACTAATAACAGCAGCTAGTATGAGTTTAATCATATAATATATCATGCATTTAACTTTTCCAATACAAACTGCTAAGCGTTGGTTAGAACTTATATCTAACTGACTTTCTTTTTCAACACCACGATCTCAGTGCACAGCAATGGGGGTTCATATTCTTGGAACTAACTTACTATACATGTTTTTAAATTTCACGGCTCGTACAAACCCCCTCATAAACAATACTTTCTAACATCTACAAACTTCTTAAAAGTTGTATTGCATAAATACTTAGCAAGACCATAATTGTAACACAATAATGCAGAGTTTGGACAAAGTACACGTTTCTCATGGCCGCAACATGAACGCGATGCTATTTCGGAAATAGAGTATAAAATCTGCACCCATACTATAACAGCAAAACATAAACCTAGCCATTAACTTCTTGAGATACCTTGACTAATGTACTGTCTTTTACTTTTATTGAATTAATTTGCTTAGCAATCCTAATTAGGAAGTATCTTATATGCAAAGCAATATTGTAAATTATAGAACATGCCCGTAAAAATGGGGTGTGCCTGCCCTAACAGAATTAGGTTACGATACTATATTGTATTATACAATAATGACATAACTGACAACAATGGCGGGCTACATAGCTCATGACAAACCAGTATTCTGACATGTTATGATCACCGACTGTAACAAACATTAATGAGGACATCTCCCATAGTTCAGCGGGAATTTCGGTAGTGAACCTATGTACCCAACTAGTTTACCAGAAACCCCATTAACTAAAAAATACACTTGTTGGCTCAGAGGTGGTTCATTTGCAATACTTTGAGAGGCGGTCTAACGCATGATAACACCCTAGTCAACTGCCCTAACATTTACTGAACCGAGGCATGGACCCAGATACTTGAACATTAGTACAACTCACCTCTGATTTCCAAAGAAGTTCAAAAATATAGTTTTCCATTTTCAAGGTGTAACATGCACACGGTGTTTAACAATAGTATTATCTAAAACCTCAGGTACTGTCATCCCCAAAACAAGTCAAATCACAAATCCATAGTGAAGGGGATTAGAGAAATATATCTTAAAGTAAATTTTAGCATATTTAGTGGTAAGCAGATGATGAGAAATCATATCATTCTTCATCAATGTATGTTCTGGCTTTATTTAAATTCATAAAGAAAACTACTTGCATAAAATTCTCATGAAGAGCCGGTCTATCCTCTTATTCGCAAACTTCCCTCCTGAGTTCCCCATCATCAACGAGAAGTTGTAAATCTGACGATTCCCAATGTGATAGATCGTTCATATAGATTGCAAACCCTGCGAGACTCCACCAGCACTTTCCATAGCCTTGGAAAAAATGAAGCTAACCCTGAACTTAAAACGCCGATTATTTAGATATGCAGTAAGCCGACCAATTAATGGTGATTTGATAACCTACTGTTTGAGCTTATCAATAAGACGTATATGATTGGCCATATCAAACGCTTCTGAGAAATCAAGGTGTATGACTCCAACGTCCCCCTTAAGATCAAGAATGGTTGTCCATCTGTTCATCGCGGTCAGGGTGCGGGTTACTCAATAGTGACCTTTTCTGAAGCTGCGCTGTCGGGGCGAAAGGAAGTTTATGGATAGTAAGTAATCACGTGGGCTATCGCATATCACGAACCCCATAATTTTTGAGGGCATTGAGAGAGGTACTACTGGACCGTAGCTTGAAAGCCAGCTGTGTCGATCTCCTTTGAGAATTGGTGTGGTGCGAGCTAGTTTCTAATTTTCCAGCAACGTTTATCTAATTAGCAAATGTGGGAACATCATGCTAAGCATTGTTGTCAAGATTGAAGCTGCTTCTGTTAGTCATATATTCTATCATGTTGATGATTGCTTGATCGCAGGTCCGGACAGCAAAATCTCATCTCCAGCATCTGGACCCTGTTTACGAATGACTCAACAATCATGGCATTACTGAAAACACCAGGAAACGTCAGGTCAGAACCATCTTCTCGGACTTTCTCATGAACACTGTTAACACTCAGGATATTCGCCCTCTGCAAAATAATGAGGCGGCCTTCCTGGATTAACCAGAACTGACCACAGTCTAGCAAGTGCACATATAGACCAACTTCTTGGAAACGCAAAAACCATCGAATTGGAGGACAACGTTAAGCAGCTTACATCAAGATATTGGAGCATCAATTAGTATCACCATAGATGCATCCGACTCAGAAATAGGATTCTTACGACGGTGAGTGTCTAGCAATTTCCGACCAAGACACTGAATCTAGGTGTACCAAGTTCGGCAGTATATTGTGCTGTACGACAAATTCAACGCTCTGTGGGAGGCTGAGAATTTTTCGTGCCTATTGGTAGCCCTCGTTTTAATAATAGAAAAAACCAGACTAGTAGAGAATAGGTCTTTACTTTTGTCTGCGCGCAGTCACAGTGGAGTATAAGGTTCCTTGTCCAGACAAACAAAACCCTCTCAACACTCGATATTCTTTCTATCAAAAGCATTTTAGTTCTTTTTACTCGTCGCGAGGGAGAATTATCAACTTGCTAACTATGACTTCAAACCGATGATGACTGAATCCGTCGGTGATCGACGATAGTCTATGGATGCCTCTTCATTTGCCAGCTTGTCACCTTATTTTGTAGCATGAAGTATTTATCTCTTCTTGAGACGACTTTGAAAGGACCTTCAAATGGAGGGCTAAGCAGTGCTTTTATTTCGTCACATCTTATCCAGACGTGCGTGCGATTGCTTAGATCCTTTGGTACATATATGGCTCGCGATTGTTCACGAGCATTAGTTGGCTTAAGTTTAGACATGTGGTCCCGTAGTTGATCTACGTAATTTTCTAACTTAAGTTTTTGACTGTTAGTATTAAGGTCAACAAACTCACCTGGTAGTCTCGGGGTTGTTCCGAAAACCATTTCTGCTGCTGAACACCGTGCGTCAGTTTTGACAGATGTTCGTATTCCCAACATAATTAACGGTAGGAATTCTGTCCGCTGATTGATGTTTGAGCGAGATATAAGAGCGGTCTTTAGCTGACGGCGAAAACATCCTACCATCCCATTATCCTGAGGATGATATGCAGTACAGAGTATCCTATTGGAGCCTGGAAGTTTAGCCAAGTTATTGAATAGTTCGGATTCAAATTGCACTCCTCCATCCGTTATTGTTATGGGCATACGAAAAATGGTTACCTAGTTCTGCATGAAAACCTTGGCTACTGTTTCCGCTGTGATGTCCGCTCTCAGGATGGCTATAGGGAATCTTGTAAATCGATCTATGCATGTAAACAGATAATTAAAACCGTTCGAACTTGGTAAATGGCCTACCAAGTCGATATGCACATGGGCAAAACGTGCATCTGGTTGCGAGAAAACACCTGTGGGTGAATTTGTGTGACGAATAACCTTTGATTGTTGGCATGCCGAACACTCTCTGACCCATTTGTGTACATCCTTCTGTAAATTCGGCCATATATATCTGGCGTTGATTAATTTAGTTGAAGCTTTCGCACCAGGATGAGACAAAGCATGGAAGTTACCATATATCAACTTTCGCATACTTTTGGGAACGAAAGGTCACAGCGATGCCTTGGTCGTGTCTCAGTAAATTAGAATACCACCGATAGGCAACGGTAACTGTTTTAATTTAAGACTTGAATTGTTTGTTTTTAGCAGGTTTTGTAATTCTGGATCCTGTTCTTGTTCGTGTTTCAGCGTCTCGAATTCTACTGTAGACTGCTGTAGCACGTTCATTTCTAATCTAGATAAAGCGTTTGCAGCCTGATTGTCCCGACCTTTGACATGTCGGATATCACTTGTGAACTCTGACATAAAGTCAAGATGTCGAACTTCTCGAGGTGAGTATTTATCAGCTCTCGCTTTTAATGCATTCGTCAGTGGTTTGTGATCTGTAAAGACTATAAATTCCCTGCCTTCTAACATTTGTCGGAAATGATTAATGGTCAGGTAGATTTTACATTGGGTTTGGATATAGTGTGAAACAAGTATAATCGAAACATAGTTCGATTATTTATATCAAAAGTTTTCAGACCCAAAACCCACGAATGACGAAAAACAAAGTAGTATGAAATTGAAATTTGTGGATATTACAAATCAGTATGTTACGACACCAGTCCTGT